AGTTTTGAGTAAAATGACAGTTGACACATTTTTACTGGAGTCACACGACCTTATGCAAAGCCCATCAGCTGGAAGATCTGCTGCTTTCCAAGGTCCCTGGTTCAGAGGATTTCTAACACAAAGTTTATCTGATCTGACCTCTCTGTTACTTCTTCATCACTTAGTGGGAAATCCTACCGTAAACAAAATCCGTCATCCCCGGCCTTTATCCTCAAGCTCCGCTGAGACGCAAACTGATACAGTGCACTTTGCAAATGTATACGATGTGGGCTCTGACACAGAGACTCAGGGTAAATTCATTATGCTCAGAGCAAAAATAATTCTGTTCAGTCAACTTAAAAGGAGGACGATTAGCAATCCCCAAAGTTGTGGCATGATGCACTTTGGTTTTCATTGAAAATTCCAGCATCTTTCATTGATGGGAACTAAAATTGCAAGACCCCATAAATAAACTGTCTCATTGCTGATCAGTACATCTATTGTGTTTCTTAAGCTTCAACAACCAAGTTTGCCATAAATCCATCCTACCCTACCGGCACAACTGTTCATATAATCACAAACTTTAATTTATTTTGTTACAGTTTTACATGACTGCCAATGCAAATCTAAAACGTGTGATGCATCTTTGGATTGTTGCTGTTTCAATAAAAAGTGCTCACCCAAAAGGCTGAATGTAAATATAAAAAGGTTGCACTTTTTTGATTATTTGTTTAAACGAAAGCCACTTTTTGTTGGCCAATAACATAAACTGTCAATAGAACGGGTTGAAAAACGTACAATATTTTTGCAAGGCCTTGCGTATCAAATTTAAGACATGATTTAGAAAAGAAATGAAAGAGAGTTGTAAGACATACTGAGAAGGTTTTGAAATTAAAAACATACATAGATATGTGTGTGAAAACCCACGCAGGCTGCAAACTATATGAAACAAACTGGAACAGCTGCTCTCCCAGTTTTAGATTAAGCTAAGCAAACCTGAGCCCTTGGCTGTCCCATTGGTCTCATTTTCACTTACAACTAATTAGAACAATTTAGTTTAGCACTGCAGTTACATATTACTTCAATAAGGTGAGATCATAGCTATACAAAGTTTAAGAAAATCAACCCTGCTAAAGGGTTCGGCTAAGGCCTCTTTCCCTGTACCTGGCACTTGCATGAAGGCAGTGTGAACAGTTCAGATAATGCTATATATTTATAAACATTAAACATGCAATATTTAATGTTTATAACAGGCACTCTTCCTCTGTCTCACTCAGAGAACAGGCTCATCATTAATTTTTCTAACACTGACCATGTGTTTTAACAATCAAATTTTTTCAGTGTAGTTTTGATCATCTTCTTATGGGAACTTTACAATAATTTACTCTGAAACACGTATTAAGTTATGATCAACTCAAAGATTAAATCCATCCGAGATGTTCCACATGTTGAGACCCATACATTTTAAAGTTTAATACAATTTTGTATTGGCGTTGAAAAATCCACCGGAAAAACAGATATTGTTTTGTTGCTTTCCATTCATTTAGCAATACCACCAAACTGACACCAAACATAATATCTTGGGCTTCTTGACCTGGACAAGAAATTGATCAAAAAAGTATTCAGACTTGAGACACCATTAAAATAAATCTGGTAACTCAAAGTAACTTATGAAAACACAAGCTCATTCAAATACAAAGCAAAAAGAATGTGTTCCCATGCACCATGTGCACATTTTGTCTCAATTTAGCTCAAGTGTTCCTGTATGGAAGCGTCAGCTGGCATTAAATTATAAACACATACCTTCACCCCTCTGTCACCAGGAGAATTTATTATTGTCCACACAGACAGATTTGACTAGATACAGCTTTACAGCTTCATGGATCACTGCAAAGCCACGTGTCCAAGCCAGAAGACACGCATATGTCAAAACTCAACACAACATGTTGAGAAAACGAAACACTTTCTTGTCCATCATTTCGATTCTTCGTCATTTAACATTTCTAAACATCAGTAGTGGCAAAGATTTGTTTAAATATTTGTAGTCATAATAAAACATTCTCTTTGCATACTTTATCACCACTGTCAAAATGCATTTTCTGTTTGTGATTCAGTTTCCTCTGACTCCCTCTGCTGGACTAGAAATTTTGCTACACATTTTATCAAAAAGATTTTTGATGTGTGCACATGCACCATGTATACATTTTGTCTCAATTTAGCCCAAGTGTTCCTGTACAAAGGTTTCTGGTGCATTTAAACAACAGCTATTTTTTCCATGCATATGTCCATAATTCAGGCGCCCCAGGCCTCCATGGGGCCCAAAGTGAAATTTGCTTTTGGGGCCCTCTATTTATTCTAGTAATGTCGTTTGCTACGATCAACAGTCATATGATTAGATCATTCGAACACCTGCTATAAACTCATTGCATCTCTAACAGTGCTGTTAACATTATATCGTATGCGTCTCATATAGGTTACATTTATCAGTCGATTTCTTGAATTTTGGGGAGATCTGTTGGCGATAAGCCAGAAAGCTGCAATCGGTGCGCCCCTGTTTACGATGCAATACATACACATGTTCATAATATCTTTTTGATTAAATTAATTTCTCTTAGATTGTCCACATTTCTGTCACGGCGATCAGCTGCTGCTGTCACATGGTGATCTGACTGTCTGTGCTACCCAGTCAGATGTTCCTACCTTAGCATGGATAGGTAGACATGTCTCAATATGTCGGTGCTCGTGCTACGCGTCCGAAATTTCGACCGTGATGTTTACGAACCCAAAACTACAGCAGGTTGTGTTAATGTTAAATATTATTATTGGATAACATTCTCTATGTTTAGCATAACAAAAACACAAAAATATCCCTTCCTTCTTCAGAATACCCTATCAGTTTAAAATGAAGAGCTTTCCAGATGTTTGCACTAATCCTTTTATCGGCATATCACAACTTTAAAAATATTTTAAATACCGAGTCAGGCGGGTGAAACAGGTTTTTATTGAAATTAAATTAAACACGGACAACTACAGATCACTGCAAGCTCTTTTTTGCACATTAATACGTTGTACGGCAGTCTATTATTATATTACATTATTACACCGCTATTACACAGCTTCAATATATCACATAATATCGCTACCAACATGCTCTATTGAGCACACATGTAATTAAAGTGTTGTTTCACCGGTTTCTTTATTAAAGACGACTGTTGAGAGACACGATATGAGAGCAACAACGAGCATCTCCAGTAATTAACATCAGTTACAGCACTGGATTCTGCTCCAAAATATACATTCTCAACTTGGCACAAACAAATTATTCCACTTTTGCTCACTTAAATACTGCAACAATTATAGCAGCACTATTCTGTAAGTGCTGTTCAAACAACTATTTGATTGATTTCAAACAGGTCTTTAAAAACAAGCGATTTGTAGGACAGGAAAAAAGAAATTATGCATAACCAAAAATAATAATTGGCTTACACTTATTTAATCCTCACTTTCCCTCCACTTTTTAATTTTCTCTGATGTGTTTTGCACACAAAAAATCTAGTTAAAATAGCAGTAAAACTGAACCGATCATTTTTAGCGGTTGCATACAAAAACAGTAATCAAATTGTGTATTAACATGCAAGAAACAGCTCAGTGTGGCCACACACCCCAGGAACTATGTTATCCTGAATAATGTCACAGCGTTATGGAGGGGGAAAAATTGTAACAGTCTCTCAGTCCATTCAACAATAAGCAAAGAGCTTATTTATTAATTTGTTTATTTTTATATCATCACAAGTCACAAGTAGTGTTAAAATGTAAATTTTCTGTGTGTAGCTGATATCACATATTTTCCACATTACATACTAAAATAATAACTATGGTTGGGCTTAAATCTCATTCGTGCTCAGTTTTTAGTGTGGGACATTTCAGGACGCCCCCTTGTGGATTTAAATAATCCCTTCACTCCTTTCAGAGCCTGAGATTTATTTTTGATGTGTTTTTCAGAGAAGAAAACGTTTAAAACCCATTACATTAAAGTAGTTATGTAATAGGAGAATGTTTTCTGATTCAATATAAACACAAGTTTCAGACAAAATGTTAAGATTTCTGAATTTAAAGCTTGTGAACAGGACAGCAGTACACTCAAACGTTCTGCTTCAGGTTAAGAGTGACCCATAACCTGAAGGGAGCAATACAGCTGTAAACCGTCCCCTCTCTAGCATAATGGAGGGCTTTGAGCTGCCTTTCTGACCCTGAGGGTTGTGTTGTTCAGGCCTTCAGCCCATAATACAGTCCGGCATGGCAAACTGACCTCAGGGAAGAGGTAGGAATAAGAATGATTCGAAGATCTTTTCAATGGAAGATTGTGGAAAGTGTGTTTGTCGAGACATAGGTTGCCACTAATGACCTTGTGAATTATCATGCATGTTTTTGGATAACAAAAAGCTGGAATACATAGAGAGATCATACATTTGCAAAGGAGGAAAACATATAAACCGAACACAGAAATTTCTAATGTCTGTCTTGCTGCAAGGCTAACAATAGCTCCTCCAAGCAGCTCCCCATGGAAGATATTGCAGAGAAATTTGTTGACGTTTCTTAAAATGAATCTTACAATTACTAATCCTGCAAGCCTCTAAAGTCATCTAACATTTCTACCTCTAGACACACTTTTGTTTTGACAAGAAATGGTTCCATAACTGCTTTTTACCCCATTATAAACATTAGACAGCTTCTTCTTTTTCTTTTTTGAGAATGTTACAGTCCTAAGCTAAAAATAATGAATCTGTTCAAAACAAAATACTGTACTGTGTCTAAAATGATTTTAACATAGTTCCAGGTTTTGGTTTCAGATTTGAAGAATGAGGGAAAACGTATTTATTCCTTTACATGAAAAACACATGTTACAATTATTATGAATACAATTTATTGCATTATAAGTAACTATTAAGCTGTCAATAGCAATGCTCAACTGTAAAAATTTGTAAAGTCAATGCAAAGTCAAACATGTACCGTAGTTTTAAACTTTGTACTGAAACATAACATAAAGATAAATGGGATGTAAACAAAACCAGTTAAAATAAACATTATGTAACAATAGAAAGGCAATGAAAACATGGCTTCAATTTTAAATATGCTACATGTTAACAAAAAGAAAATAAACATGTTGCATGTCTTTGCATAAGCAAATACCACAGCAATTTTCTTTTTTAAAATAGATAAATGTACATTCATTTTTGGCTAAAAAATCCCCCTACACAAACAGAACAGGAAGCCCAACTTAATGTGATGTTTTTATTTCTTTCTGGATTATCTTAGTTTTCAGGCTGATCATCAATAGCCGTTGATGCAAATGATGCATTGACATCAGTAGCCGCTGTAGCAAGAGATGCTGATGTCCCAGTGGAGGAGCCATCTTTGGGTTTGGGCCTGGGCTTCATCATTTCCTCTTTGTTGCGCTCGGGCTTGACGAGAAGGATGTAACATTTGGGGAGGAAGATGCAGGTGAGAAGGCCAAAGCTGGAGGCGAGAATGGCAAAAATCTGGACAGCAACCATGAACTTTCCTCGTGTGCTGAGGTAAGCCGGGACAAAGGAGATCCAGACAATGAAGAAGACCAGCATGCCAAAGGTCATAGACTTGGCTTCACTAGAAGATAAATAAAAAAACATACATACCAGCCTGAAGTTCAAGAAAGACACCCAGAAGCTCCTTCAAATGTAAATAATCCACACAACTCCTATGGAGTTTTTTTTAAACATTTTTACAAATAAAAATCATATAAATGTGACATGCTGAACTAGCCTTTGCTGCAATTACAGCTGTTGATCTTTTGGCATATGTTTCCACCAACTTTCCACATTAATTAACTGACATTTTGTGCATTCTTCCATGAAAAGAACCTTATGTGACATACCTGAAGTGGTCTTCCAGTTTGCGGGCTGTGAAAGCAAAGATGAAAGCCAGCAGAGCCAGCAGGATGTCATATGCAAAGATGCAACAGATGAAGATCACAGAACCTTCATCACACTCGAGAATAATCTTTACATTCTGGGCAGCGGTGTTCTTAACCGGGTGTGGAGGGAGGATGATGAGCCAAACAGTGCACGCTACAGCCTAGATAGTGGTCAGAGATCAGTTTTAATTTATGTTTTTTTTTACCCCTGTTGTGATCTCGAGTTTATTTCACATGTCTCACCTGTATCAATGTTGCTACGGCAGCTATTGCCCTCTGATGCCCGAAGGTAAGAATGTCAACTTCTGGCTTATCCAAAGCAGCAGTATCATTGAGGTTTGAGCTGGTTACTATCACATCAGGACTGCCTCTGTTAGCTGCTGCTTCGGCTGCAGCCTTGGCCGCTTTGGCAGCTGCCTTGGCTTTGGCTCTGGCCTTTTTCAGAGCCCGAGCTCTGAGCATCAGCACAGCTGCCTTACCTGGGGTAAAGAAAATCAGACAGGCTACCAGGATATCCTAAGATGAGAAGGTTATATTTGATTTCTAATGTTAACTAACCCATTATGCAGGAAAGGCACAGAGCAAAGCCAAGAGCTAAGGCTACTTGACTAGTCATGCAGCTCCAGTTTTGTGGCTCGCCAAGGAAGACAATAGAGCAGAGGAAAGTTACAACAAGTGACAAGAGCAGCAAGAAACTCAACAGAGCATCATTGGCTTTCACCAGAGGCGTTCCGATGTACATCATAAGCACCACCTGAAAAAAGAAGAAAGAAAACACCTCATATTTCAGCTGTTTTAGTATCTTTCAGCAGTCACAGGCAGTGGATAAAAAGTCTGTTTTTCTAAATGGCAGAATGATGGGAGAGAAAATCTTGGAGAGATTTTATTGTTTTCTGCAAATTTAGAAGTGTACATACACTAAGATTAGAGCAATTTTGGAAAGCCCAAGTGAGGATGTCATGCCTTTTTGAGCTTCTGAAAGTTTGATTCATAGCATTTAATTTAACCAGGGACAAACCTGCAGGTGTATTTTAAGAATAAAGAGCATGGGAAAGTTGATCCATTTTACAGTTCATGAAGGAGATGAGTTTTGTCTTGCAAAGATAAATGTGTCTTGGTGCAGATGAGTGTGTTGGTGCAGATGAGTTACAGTGTATGGAAATCTATATTTTTTAACTATAGACTATATATTTTTTTGTTGTTGCATGAATCTCACCCCAACAGCTATGGTTACTAAAGCACCAAAGGCAGAGATGACTATCAAGGTGATTCCCAGCGGTTCTCCAAAGGCCAGGAACTCAATGATTTTAGGCACACAAGCGTCATGAGCATCATTAGACCAGTCGTCTCCTGTACACAGGATGCATTCACGGGCATCTGTCATTGAGGGAGAACAGGACAATTATGAGAGTGGCGGGAAAATGTGCTTAATTGCATTAGGTTGATTTGAAAACCCTACTTTACACAGCAAAATGAAAGCGAAAAACTGCATTTTCCTATAGAGGTGTGAATACACTCTTTTCTCATGTTTTTACTGTTTTTGTCTCAAATAAAGAGAACTACAAGCAATATTTTACCCCCCAAAATTTTGGTTTCTCAGAAAAAATAAATCAGAAATGTTCAGTTTAATAGATATCCTGTAGGGCACTTAAAACGATTTTTGAAAACTTCATAAGGAAGGTATAAAGGCTTTCTAAAGAGTCACAAAAAATAAAGAAACTATAATAAGACATAAATGTCTGTTGATACAACGCTGGTTAGAATGAAACACTCATTATGGGTAATCCACAAATAGTGGGTTTTAACATGCACTGAACCTGCTTTAAAATGAAAACAACTAACAAACTACTTAAATTGCTTTCCCATAGCCCTGACTCCAACCCATCAAAATATGGACTACATTAAAAGTTGAGTTTTTGCAAGGAAACCAGTTTGAATAAATTACCAAGTCTACTTACAGGAGTATATCACACCAGAAACAAGGGGTGCACTGATTTATTGGCCAGCCAATTTATCAGGGCCGATTTAATTAATTTTGGGAGATTGTTGATCGGTCGATTTTTACATAGGAAAGCTAGTCTTATCCACCCACCTATCTTATCTAGCTTGGAAAAGGCCTAAGAATCAACCACTGTTCTCTTTTGATCTCCAGTGAGAAAGTTTTGACTGACAGACCAGCCCACCAAGTTAATTTTACATGTTTATAATTAACAATAGTGACCTCACTATTGCCAACTCAACAACTTTCTTGCGGTATTCAGCAACATTTTAGATTTAAAAAAAAATTGACATCGTCCAAAATCGGAATCGGGAAATTAAGCTTTTTAAAAGATCGGTAATCTGTGATCAGCCAGAAAACTGCAATTGGTGCTCCCCTACCAGAATCATGTCAATCGCTAATTGATATTAACCAAACATCAGTTTGGATATGTGTATGTATTTCAACGAGTGTGTATCTCTTTTAGATATGTGAAACAGTAATACAAATGGGAAAGCTGGACACTGACTTGTGGTGTTACTGATTTCTCCGTCAGCACAGGGGATGCAGTCAAAACAACAGACCGGCTCCCCCTGCCGGATCCCCTTCCTGGTGCCGGGCTCACAGTTCTCGCTGCACACCGACCGAGGAGGCTTGGAAATAAACAGGAGATAACTAGACATGCCATCACATGACACAAGCATTGCTGTTCTAATAAAATATCTGACCTCCAGTTCTTCATTGTTCCAAACAATGGACTCATTCCTTATGTGCATCCTCTCCTCTGCAGCGGCAGATCCATTGTAGTGTCCCACGGTGACATAAATTATCTCTCTATTATCACTGAGTTGCCAATTAATGATGTCATAAAAGCCCTCTATATCACCGTCTTCAAAGTAGATCTCCTCCCCAGTGTTTGGCATTTTGTAGCGCACGTTCTTCACATAATACATCAGCTACGGAAGACAAAGTCGGTGAGCTATGAGGACAGTCAGCGCCACAAACCAATACTATGTGTAAAATCTCTACATGTCTACCTGCCAAGGCTCAAAATTAGTGATGTTGGCACAGCTGCCTCCAACAAAGGGGCCTTTTCCGTCTTCACAGTGCTCCAGGTTGTGCAAGGCATGGGCCACAGCATACACTGCTTTGTAAACGCTGTGAAAACCACTTTCTTTTTAACAATGTCATTATCGCTCTCACCTCAAAAAAAAAAAAAAAAAGTTTATGCTTTGCTGTCCCTGAAATGGTATTACTCATAGGTTCCCAACAATGTTTGTGCAGAAGGTTAGATAATGTGAAAATAGCAGTAAAAAGATGGCGTGAGAACATCACAAGCATCAGTGACTTCTTTGATCGTTGTTTGAGCTGTGGGTACTGACCTGTAAGTGATTCGTAGCTGAGAGACATCAGAGTAGGTGTTGTTGAGCTGAGCCACAGACTCACTGCCAGTACACAGACCATATGGTGACGCCCCCACTGCCCTGGACAGTGTGCCGTTGGCCTCTTTGGCGATTCTCAGCGCTTTGTTAATGTCCAGTGTGCAGTTAAACAGCTAAAAAACATATATAAATTCACAACATTTACGTCCTCTAAATTTCTCTATAATTTGTGCCACGTTTTCCAGTTTCTAGTTCAAATTAAGTTAAACCCACGGTCTCCCAGAATTCCTCAGTGAGGTTATCTGCATAGGGATCCAGATCCAGTAGGTGGCGCTGAAGACCAGGGATGTCAGCCTTTTTCACCCCAAAACCAAGGGTTCCAGACAGGAGTGAGTTCACCTGGAAAAAGAAAACAGCATGCGCATTCAGGTTCATTTTTGAAGTGAGGTTGTGTCTCAGTTAATATCTTGCCAGCAGTGGACTATGTCATTGTCTTCATTCAGTTTAAGTTAAGACTGGATGGTGACAAGGCTAAAGTTAATGGCCAGTCAGAGAGGAATGAAGCCCAAAGCAGATTTCTGCTCTCTAATAACAACTCCAATCTCATAAATATTACAGCAATTTGGATAGATGATAATGTAAACTTGATTCAAATGTCATCAAGTTTGGTAGAGACCTAAGAAACTCTTTAGATTGAGATGTAGTGAGTCAGAGGAAACGTCTAAGCATTCAGGATTGTTTTATGCTTCCATTTTAAGCCATTTTATTGTTTTTAATTGGCAGTCACTAAAAGAAGTCAATAGTTATACACACGCAAAATAGAGTTAGGAGCCCATCCACCACCAATGACCTTCCTGAATAAAAACAAAAGTGAAGTAATTATTTTTGGACCCAAAGAGGAAGAATCAAGACTCAGCACAGCTAGAAACTAGTGATCAGGCCCAAAATGTGTGTGTAGAGATGGAATGGGACCTGATACTTCAGAGACATATAAAGCCAATTACAAAGTCGGTCTTCAATAACCTGAAGTGAATTTCTGAAGTGAACACCCATCCTTGCTTGTTACTTCACTTCACTGTACAGGTTATTTTCTGAGTTTATGTTACATAAGGAGAATCACTAATGGAGCAGCGCCTCTTTATTTCCTGTGTAGAAAATCAACTTCTATGTAAATAACCACCCTAACTTAGTGATGATTTGATCTTCCTCATATTGCATTTGCATAAACTGTTATGACATATTGATACTGAAGTTATTTAAAGACAAACAAAGTCCAGTTTGCTCTTTGCCTCATTCTGGACAAGGTGTTGGCTTCATTCTCCATGACCAGCTAATCTGAGTTGATACTAAATGAGGACACCATGTATCCTACCCCAGGCTGATTGACGAGGGCAGAGGTGACCCAGGCCTCGCTGGCAATCCAGGTGCGGTTAGTCACATTGTGGCGGAGAAGTTCGCCGATGAGAGGACTGAGGTCTACATCTGATGAAAAGACCACAATGATCTTGGCAGTGGACTCAACTACAGTTTGAACAATGCTCTGGATGGCCTCTGGTGAGCTCACCTAAAGTGTACACACACAATTGATTTCAGGACACCATGCTGAAGAATCACTGAAGGATTTTGTGGTGAATTATCTGATGGTACAGTGTCTGATATGAAGGAATACAGTCTACCTTAGGCAGAGTTTCAGAGAAGGCAATGCAGACTCCAGCTTCCTCCACCTGCTCCTTGAAGTCCTTGATGCCGTATTTACCATAATCATCAGCAGCAGCGATGGTCCCTACCCAGGTCCAGCCAAAGTGCAGCACCAGTTGTGCCATAGCTCTGGACTGGTGCAGGTCGTTAGGGATGGTCCTTAGGAAGGTAGGGAACTGGAACTTATTATTCAGTGCAGAACATGTTGAACAGTAGCTGACCTAAAGAAACAAGTGGTAAGGATTTGTTATCCCTTCATCCATTTCTTTCATCTTCATTTGCGGTTTTCATCAGTGTGGCCTACCTGTGGAAAATGATAAAGCCCCAGTATCCTGGCTGTAGCAATAGACAGATCAGAACCCCCAGCACCCACTAGAGTGGCAAGAGGTGGCCCGTTGCCACAACGATAGTTAGGTACTGCTTCATCTTGTCCAGTCAAGTATGTCAGGGTTCCCTCCACGGCCTTGGAGATGGTGAAGCATGAATCATAGATAACATAGCCCAGGTCGGTGTTGGGGAGCAGGTCTTCCCTCTGGTTGATTTCATTGATAGCGAACAGCATCGTCTGTGTCCAGCGGAAGGTACGGAAATTAAATCTACAGAATCAAGAAAGAACGATATGGAAGTAACAGATTTATTGAGTGGGTCAGCTTATGCTTGGGGTTAAAAAAAATCACATGTCTGGCTCCTAAATCTGCTGCCAAATGCTATCCCAATTTTGAGCTGACAGTATGAATCATAAATAAATCACAATAAGCTTCTTCAGGAGCCCGAGTCTTTAAACATTCTGTATGTATTTAGTGATCTGTAATGTGTCAAACTAATGATGAAGACATATGATCTTTGGGTTTGTTTTTTTGATGTGACTAAAGATAGCTACTCTGATATTTAAAATCCTACATTTTAAAATATGTTTGCTCCTTTAGACTTCTGGTTTTGCTTTTTTTTTTGTCACACTTGAAGGTTTCAGTTGATTAAACACATTGCTTTGATTTAATTATCTGCTTTGGCATATTAATGAACTTATAATATGGAAAAAAAAAAATTGTGTTATTAGTTAAATAATCTGCCAATGGAACAAGTACAAAAACAAGATTCTATATCTTACAGTAAAGTTATTAAGTTAGTTTTGTCTTATTTCAAGTGTAGTAAGATGTTTTCTCTAGAAACTAGACCTAAAATACTTGGTGAGATTTTGTCTTTTTGCAGTGTTCAGATGTTGTGTTTATCCCAAGCTCTCTCACACCTCAGTTTTATATTGACTATGATTCAGTATTTGGGTATTATGTGATAAATACTACTTTCTAATTGTAAGTCATATAATGAATAGAATATTTAAGGGTAGATTATGTAAAGAGAGGATTTGTTGAGCTCTGATGACTGGTGTGAAATACTCTCAAATCAAATAATTTTTTTTCAGCCCCAACGCCACAATAGAACATAGAGGCTACTTTTATTGTCCTATTTTGTACAAATCCATATTTCAGACCAAGTAATTTAGTTGTTTGGCAGCATCGTTCCAATTAGGAGTTCACAGACTTGATTATTATTTTGTACTACACTATAAAAACTTGTTTTCATAATAGAGTGGCTGCAGTAGCTAATTGGCCCCAGGGGTCCTGATGACTGTGGGAGCAATGACCAAGAATAAAGTCAGATTATTCGTAAGTAGCATATCAAGTTAATTAACTTTGACAGAGCCAGAATATTGTTAAAACTTTTTAACAGCGAAAAGGTTTAAAGAGATCCAACTCACCCAGCACAACCAGAGGAGACAGGCAGGTTCGAAGTGTTGCCGTCGCTGGAAGCAACACGCATGTGGACAGGAAACATTCCCCCAATGACGACCCTTTTCTTCTCTACATTCTTGTAGCCGTTCAAGTTGAACTTGGCCTTCAGCTTGCAAGTGGATTCGGCCCAAATAGAGCCGTACGCGCAGAAAAAGCAAAGCAATCCGAGCAAGAAGCCTCTCATTTTCATGCGTCGTCAATGATCAGCAGTCGGGAAAGCTTTCTCTCTCTCCCTCTGCAACAGACAGAGAAGTGAGCAGCGTCTCGTGACAGGTGTCTCATCCATCCTCTGGGGAGAAGAGCTCCGAAGGTAGCCTGACAGACTTAACCAAGTGCAACCAAAGCACAGAGACAGCTTATGACTGATGACTCATTTATCTTTAGATGTTAGGACTCAGAAAGTAGAGGCCTCTGTGATTTTTTTGACATCCAGCCACTCAAAATCAAAGAATACCTGCTAAGTCACACATGCTCCAGTACATTGATATCCTATTTTATGACTATAAACTAAATGCTGAACTTTGAGGAGAATTAACATAGATGCACACTTCAGAGTTCGATCATTTCCAAGAAACGACATGACACGTCTTCATTTCATCTCCCGACCTTTGTCTCCTGTAAATATGCTTCATTATTCTGTGCAAACTGCCACAGGCTACAAGTTAATTGTCTTGTGCATGTGCTGACTTGTTAGTTACATGCAATGTTACATTTCACTAACTGTTCCAAGATCGGCCCTTGTCCCAGGAGTAGAGGTTGGCAGTGTGATGGACCTGTTTGCTCTTGTCTCTCGGTCTGGGGGGAGCTACACACACCTGAAGCTCCAGCAGGCAAAGATCCATCTGTTGGATCTGCTAAACTACTGACATTAAGCAACATCATGATGTATAATATTTTCAACCAGAAAGCGTCTAAACTGAAGGAACAGTTAACGTCTTTTGTGGTGTTCGTAGGTTTTGTGATTTATTTCAGGCAGAAATCAAAAGTTTATATATTCTGCAAAGAAAATGTAGAATTTAAAAATAGAACAGAAACTTAAGAAGAATAATCAGCTTCAAAGGAACACCGGATTCTTCTTAATTGTACAAATCCACAACATCTTTGATCTTTAACATTTGACCTTGCCGTGACAAGTCAATACAGTCACTGGAAAAACCCATCGTTCCCCATGATTCAGCAGGGACAAATTCAAAAACATTAATTTATAATAGTTTTCTAATTTACTTCATTAATCTTTCATCACCATGGCTGAGTTTGACCTACTTGTTCACAGGATTTCAATCAGATTGAAATCCTGTGATCTTTTGACTAGAATACTGTGGCATATGGAGGAAGGCTCAATTACTGTGAGCCTTTTTCACGGCAACCGGAAGCTCTATCTGATAGGGCTGCGGCACTTCCTGTTTTGGTGACTGTAATTCAAGTACTCTGAAAAATGGCTCTCCTCCTCCGGTCCTTTTTATCGTCCTTATTTAATTTGCCAGCCTTTTCTTTCGCTGATGCGGACATTTGGAGAGAATTTCAGAAATTTCTGAGGCATATTGGCTTTTACCTTCTCACGACTAATCCACAGGTTGATGGAAGAGAACACAATGAAGAGGTAGTTGGCCCAGGTGATGGTCACTCGGCTGACAGTAGCTATGCTGACTTGAAACATGTCAGCAATGAGCTGCTCCTTCATGCCCACTGCTACCCTGAATGAGTCCATCAGGAACTCATCAATCAGAGGCATGCAGCGGGCAGGGCTAATCTCCAAGTTTCTGTGCTTTGGTCCAGTACACCAGGCATGATGCAGAGGGTGCAATGGACTCCCAGAAGATCCGGAACACACATTCAGATGGAAATTTGGTGTAGAACCGGATCTGGTTATCAGAGGCACAATAGCGGCTAAAAAGTGTGGCAGACAAATCCACTTTTTGAAGTCTGGCCTCCAACTCTTTAATATAATGCAGAGCTTCATCAAGTGCACCTGTAAAACCATAAAATAGCAAAACATACGGTTAGCAATAAGTTTTAATTATATATTTGAAACATTACTTCTGTGAAGATCAATACATGTTGTGAGTCGGAGCATGTATGTATACAGCCATTGACTTAATCTCTCCACAAAATACATAACCACATAATCTCATAATTTCATTATTATGTGATCTTAATAATAATATTATTATTATAGCAACAATTATATTTTACTGAAATTCTCTTACATGGAAAATATATACAATATACTATCTTTTACCTGCGGGTGGATGTGCCGTGTAGTCATGGTCCGCAGTAGCATCTTCAGCCTGGCTCGCTTTCTGAGAGGACAAACTTCCGTTTCTTAGCCCTCTCGAAAGCAGACTCTCTCATTGCCGGTGCAGTGAAGTTATTCCAGGCAAACAGGGAAGGAACAGCTCCACTTTAAGGCAGCTGGTGGTGGATCCGCTAACAAAATCCTCCGGTGTGAAGTGGCGGCTACATACGAAAGTGCTCCCCGTCTTTATGCAAAAGTCCGGACCTTCATCTCTTCGGATCGCCTGGATCCACTGCCTCCGTTGGTCCGGGTCCGACGGGAACGCAAGATATGACAGATAAGGCTGTTTTCTTGCCCCACATGAACAACCAGGGACTGAACAAAAACAGTTTGTTGCTGCAATCCCATATCATCACTCCTCCACCATCATGTCTGACAATATATATATATATATATATATATATATATAGTGTATATATATATATAAATATATATATATATATATATATATAAATATATATATATATATATATATATATACATATATATATATATATATATATATATATATATATATATATATATATATATATATATATATATATATATATATTTATTTATTTTTTTTTTTTGTGCGATTTATGTTGTTTAGTTTTCTCCAAAGAATTTGTTGTGCCTTGATGCATCTCAAATGTAGTTTTATTTAAATCAAATTGCTCAAAAAGTATTTTTGATTCATCAAAATTTAACCTAAATCATCTTCAGTTTCTCTTTGTAGTCTTTCCCTACATACTTTGGTCAGTCTGACCTTCTGGCAATTGTATTAGGCCGGATAATCGATTCTCCGAGATTGATGGGATGCAACCATTCTTCAAGATCATTTCTGATGTTTTTACATTAGACTCACATTCATCCAACTGCTCTAAAGTACATATATTCAGTGATGCATAGTTCAGGAGGCAACAAGGGAAAGTATTTAGAAAATTGGGTAAGAAACTTAAGAAAATGAATGTTTCTGAATTTGAAGAAAAAAATAAATCTTACAAAATTCTTTCAACTAATATTTAGCAAATAGAAATGTTGGTAAACCAAACACAGGGAAAGTTTAATCTCATTTAATATCAGAGCAGTTCATAATGTTATGCCATTTCTGGAACAAAAAGTGACAAATAGCAGACGTTTTAACATTGAGATCTTTATTAAAGCTCAGTTTTCCATTGTACAAATGTCATAGTTGAAACTGCATGCAGTGGCTTGGTTTGAGGCACGTTACTAAGGAAAAATGAACATCGCTGAGCAAACTTGAAGGAAATAAAAAGGACAATATTGCATAACTTAATCTTATTGGAATTTTTTTTTTTAATCCACTTTAGTTGTTTTATGGGGACTTGTATAACAGAAACACGCTTACAAAGGCAAAACAGAAGGACAATCACAAACAGCAGTTAAGGTCACCAAAGAGTTGAGTTAATGGAAGGATGAGAGGCACAAAAACAGATGGCGGCATCACATCCAGGGTAAATATCGCTAACAGGAGACTACACGCTTTTAAAAACTCAGTTAAACCTGAGCACTGTATTCACTGAGGTCTAAATGACGAGACGGGAGACCGGAAATTATGCATCGACAGTTGTGAAAGTGACCATGTATACAAGGCGCGACAACGTGAAATGAGGCAGGAGCTCGAGCCAACTCCCTCAAATGAACCTTCAACACTAAAGAGGGACACAGTTAAGATAAAGTTTCTACTTGATGTTTATGCTGATGTAGCACCGAGGCTTCATGAGTGAAAAATGTGCAAAAACGTGCTTCTGCACAATGCAGGACCAGCCAAATCGTCAAACAACAGCAAGTGACACGATGTGGTTAAAAGCTCTTACTACTGTACTTATAGGTTTGATATTAGTCCTTTTGCCTTTATAATCTTCTTCATAAAAAAAGCACACATACTGCAGCATGAGGAGAACAGCATTCTCCTCTCTGGACAGAGTTCATTCATTTCACACCAGAAAAGAAAAAGAAAAGAAAAAAAAACTTAAAACATGAAAATACAGAACAGGCACAAACAAAGTTACCAATGGTATTGGCTTCTTTCCCAGGAGTCACCTCTCTGAAGCCACTGCTGGGTGGACTGCTGTCCAGGAAGGATGCAGAAACAACACAACAGCTCCAGTCAAACAATCCGAGGAGTCCACAATAGTCAACACCACCACAGCATATTCTACTTTTGGCAACAAAAAGAAAAAGGGCTTAAAAATTGATTGGTCATGTAGGCTGCTGATTCCAGACAACCTCGGTTGTAACACAGTATGGAGGAGGCGAGATAGAGAGAGAGTACAAACAGAGGATAGTCTGAAAACATTCTGTACTACAAGAAAGAAATACAAAGCAACAGCAGAAGACTTTCATCCCCAACCCACTACTGCATTTTCGTTCATGACAACACTGTTTGCTTTGCTTATTTTTATTTTATCCACCCCACAATTACTCTTTAGGCACAACATCGAGTCGACATCACAGCTTCTTACCGCTTGCCTTTAAAGGTTAAGCTCATAAAAGGAAGCAGCGATTTACCTTTGTATAATAGCCAGAACATGTACATGAATTAAAAATAACAATATATTAACCATAACCAACACTACTGGATCCCTACTTCTGAAGAAAGAAAACGAAACAAAACAAATTAAGACCAGGTAAGAGTGGGAGTGATGGGGAGTGCAGAGCGGAGGGGCTTCGTCACAGTACGGTCTGCCTTCCATGGGAATGTCAAAGAGAAAGAGGAGGTAAAGTGGGGTCGGGGAAGGAAGGACAGAGAGAGCGCGGCTCACCGGCCCTCCGGTGTCTGCGGAGACTGTTTGTGCACTGTGTGTGAATGTGTGTCCTAATGATATGAAGTCATGACGTGGCTCTATTCCCACTCTGTGGTGCCGGGTGGCTTGGAAGTCAGGTCGTACATCACTCTGGAGATGCCTGGGATTTTCTTGATCTCATTTACCATCTTTAGCACCACCTGGTGGAGTGAGCAAAACCAAGCTGCATCAAGACAGTGTTTTGTTTTTGTCGTCAACAATTCTTTTGACTGGCAAAAAAAAAAAAAAAAAAAAAAAAAGCCATTCAATCTAACCGGTGAATGTGACAATGTGTTTGCCCAAACTGTTCGACATGGACTTCCTACTTACTCTTAAGTTTTGGTCAGCTGAGGCCAACTTGTCAAGTCACAATGGAGAACTGTTACAATCTAGTCTGTACAATTAAGATATCACTAAAAGTCACACTTTTCTGACAGTATTGGACAAGTCAAAGGATCACAAAGAGCAGCAAGTCATGCCTTGATCTCAAGAAATTCAAAAAACAGGAACTTAAAACAAACAAAAACATATTTGTAATTCTAGAAGGAGTTAAAAGTCCATTTTGGAGTCCAGGGAACAATAATGAGACCCATCATACACAAATTGAGAATTAAGTGGCAACTAAAACTACTCCCAAGAGCACATCAACATCTTGTTCTTAAAGTCCCAGAAATTTCCAGGACTAGAGTGTAGCATCTTCAGATGCTCATCATGATGATATTTGTGTTACTGAAATACTAAACTTTGGGTTTGGGAGACATTATTTTTACCCAGATTGAACTAATGTCATATTACACTCTGCTTCTCTCAGAAAAAACTTCATTTGACAGAGTTAGTCAAAGCTAAGCAAAGACTTGCACTTAACTCTGCTGCACTACCCCGAGAGGCTGCAGCAGCCTCTTCATACTCAGTGGTGTGAAGGAAAGCTGAAGTCACTGTTGTAAGAATAAAGACTTCAGTAATGAAATAAGAAATTCTACTAAATTATCTTATTTTATTGAGGGTTACTCATGATAACAACTACTGGCACTGTCCTTAATATGTAAAATCCTGAGTTTATACTTTCTAGTTTGAAAGTACATAATGTGGCAAACTGCATCACATTAGCTTACCTCCTCTGGGATGTGGTTACCAGGCATGGCAGCGATGCCCGTCATGAAGTCGCTGGTGATGAACGTGCGGACCACGACAGAGCGCCGACAGGAAGGCTGCTTCTGCAGGGGGTCTCGGTCGAAATGCAGGGGCGTGAGGATGACCGGCATCTGACTGATCTTGCCTGAATAACCTGAAATAAAACCAAAGAGAATCCAAGGTGAACCAAATGTTTGATTAGTTTAAAAAAACATCTGATAATAAAACCAGTGACAATAGATTCTGTCGAAGAGAATACTAATTAACGCTGCAGCCTGACAGGGAGGAATACAGATTCGTTTTTAATCTCCTTTGAAGATGTATGAGGGAAGCATGAGAGAAATGAACAGTAAAAATGACTAATAGTTCCTTATATTGCGATGAAATGAGGAAACATATTCCATCATAATATGAGATATAATGACATATATTATATATTTCTTTTCCATATCTATCTATCTATCTATCTATCTATCTATCTATCTATCTATCTATCTATCTATCTATCTATCTATCTATCTATCTATCTATCTATCTATCTATCTATCTATATCTATCTATCTATCTATCTATCTATCTATCTATCTATCTATCTATCTATCTATCTATCTATCTATCTATCTATCTATCTATCTATCTATCTATCTATCTATCTATCTATCTATCTATCTATCTATCTATCTATCTATATATATTTGCTTATATCATAACTAAATACCTTTAATATGAATAAAGATTTTTCCACACATTCAAGTCAACACTTAGTATAAGACTTATTAAAAAAAAAATACTACTGCTTTGATTTAAAAGAAAAGGGATGGATATAGTCCATGGCAGCCAATACATTATTTATTTAATAAATTGAAAGTATATACACACACACACCTCAAAAATTTCAACTTTTAAAGAAATCGAAATTTACCAGACTCTCTAAGAATAGAATGAGCAACAAAGTCCGCCTGTCTGAGCGTGCTCAGAACACCGGTGGTCAGGAAAGTTGGGGTAATGTCTGTTGGCGGCTCCTTTACGTGGGACCCAAAAATATACACAACTCTGGAGAAACACATGAGTCACAGAGTTGAGGTTAGGTCTTTAAAAGCTCTACTGATTGAAGAGAAATTGTGAATTTTTTGTTGTTGTTTGTTTTCAGTGTTACCTGTTGATGGTATGGCACATGCGAGGGATGAGTCTGGCCAGGAACATCAGTGATTCCCAGTGAGGAGATTCTTTACTCATTACACCGCACACATAACTGTAAGACCGACAGTCTCCCTGTAACAGAGACAAAACACTCTCAAGTAAATGGGAACAAAAGTCTTCAGAACTAATTGAGGACATTTGTGTAATAAACACACATTTAAGATTGATAAACTCCTGTTTTCGTTTGCAGCCCAGGCACAGAAAGCCGTCTATGTTTAGCAACGGTGTCCTGTCTGGCCCACAGATTGAGGTTTGAGTTAAATTTAAACCTCTGGTCTCTAACAGGCAGTCACAGGGCACACCTACAACAAACTATCTGCCACTGACTGACTTTGGCAACGTTTGTCAGAATTTAGAAAATAACTTGCTCTGGACACATTTTCCAAGACAAAAGTAATGGAAAAAAATGTGGTGGTTTTTGGGTGGGTGTGTCCTGTGGGTAACATCTAAATTACCGTCCCTGCCCAGCAAAAAGAAAATAACTGGAGACAGACACTGTGTCAGAGTAACTGTCTCTGAAGCGATCCTACTTCTCCTACGTAAGTGCAACAGCTTCCAGAACAACAGGCTCTTTTTGGGTTAAGCATAAAATATTTCTACTGCTACTGTCTCAAAGTCCTCTAATCTCTCAAACCAGATTAGTAATTTAAGACATAAATGCATACATTTTTAATTTCAGACAGAAAAAGAGTCACAGGAGACACTCTTTACTAAAAACAAAAAAGTCACCTTTTTGGATGAAACTGTAGAGTATGGAGTTTATGAGAATAACTGTTTATTGTCATAAACTTTCAAAAACAAAAAAAAGAAGAAAAACGGTTGCTTTCTTGACAAAAGGAATGGAATAAGTAATCGCCCCAAAGAGGGAGTTTGTAAAAGTAATTAATTAGTTGAAGAGGGCAGATTCCTCCTGACAATCTAGTCATTTGGAAACATTCTTCTCCCAGTTATAAAATAACTGGAATATTTGACTCATGCAAAGAAACATTCTTCAACTGAGGGACAAGTACACAACACACATCCTGCCAGAGCTCTACCAGAGTCCTCAGGTCAGAAAATGTGTTTCACTGAAAATTCAAAATTGTATCAATTCTGACAAACTCAAGTGTAGAGTTTGATTTGAGACTTTCAATACATTTGATGTTCTGGTTTACCTGGACACCAACAGTTTTGATGGGCAGCAGGAAGGCATTAAGTGAATGAAGGCTGGTGATCTGCATGAGCTTTTCCTCCTCTTCATCTGATATGCACGACTTGACTCTCTGGAGCAAGGCATGAGGCTGGACGGCAAGGAAACACAAGAAGGTTCATCATGACGAAATGCAGCTGGCTTTGTCCCAACAAACAGAAAAACAAGACACCCCTGAATAAACATAAAATTGTTTTATCAGCAAACTGAAGATGCTTAAATGTTTAGTAATTTTATTTAGGTAAATTCTATATTTTCAGAGCAAAATGGAAAAAACTAGATTATAAGGGTGATATTTCTGGAGTGACTAATCAACAAGAAGCATCTCATTATTATTTAAAAAGCACCCTGAAAAGAAAAACAGCCACACTTTTCAGTGTGTCCAAAGCTGTCCACAGCACCATGTTGTCTCCATTTTGCATGTTTCCCCACTTCATTCTTTCTACAAACTTTCATGTGAGAAATAATATTACTGCTGGGAAGCAACAGGGAGTTGTCATCGGACTACACAGTAAAACATTAACTCGGACACTAATTATGTCTCTGCAAATTTTGCAGACAAAGTTTGAGATTCTTGATCAGAATAATAAAAGAGACTCAAGTTATCAGGCAGGATCTTGCTCAACTGAAGTGAATCTTTAGTGGATTTAAAACAGACTTGCACACTTTAGAGAAAAGTGTAGCCTAAAAGTTAATGATGGTTATCGTATTATCATGCAAAGCCAAAAGACCAATCAGTCAAGAATATAGTCTGACTTTTTCACTGACCTTTTTGACACTTGCAGAAAAGTCTGTGATAATTTTGAGGATGTTGTTTGTTTCAGCAAAGTCCTTACAAATATAAGGCTCCTCAGCACAAATCACTCTGATGGACAAACCAGGACCTAAAGGGAAAAAAAAGTAATATTTACACTGGTGCCAGGATTGACACTTATGTGAGCAGTACTTGTTTATATGATTGAAAAAAATTACACTACATTTCACTGATTAAAATACTTAATCAGTGTGGACTATATTGATTTAACAACTGCATACTACAGTGACAGTGAATGCACACGTGTATATTTACTTACCGGGAAAAGGATGCCGAGAGACGATCTCCTCTGGCAGGCCCAACTCTCTCCCCAGCGCTCTCACCTCATCTTTATGAAAATCTTTCAAAGGTTCGATTACTTTTCCCTGAACGGAAATAAAAATGTATTCAGCATTTTTACAGTTTTCACATATTTGTGGATTTAGGTGGAAGGACAAAAGCAAGACAAACTAATTCATAAGCACAATCAGTAAATATCTACAAAATGCATCTATAAATGCAAAATATCCAGCAGAACCTGTACTTACATTGTGCTGATTAAGCATGAGAGCAGGCAAACAATTCTTTGAAATACTGAGTTTTAAATTCTTTACTAATTTGTTATTCAGTTTACTTTCTGAAATCCAACTTGCATTCAGTAAATGGCAAGAACTCACACCAGACAGTCCAAGTCAGGTGATAGTAGGAGTTTGTGTGAGCAGGTACCTCATCTCTGAGTTTGCGGATGAGCTCGGTGTCGTTGTGGTGTGTTTTGATGACCTCTGCCTTTCCGCTGGCAATATGAGAGGCACTCTCAATGAGATCAGGCCGCAGGGTGCCCTGCGCCAAGAAAACCTCTTCAGGGTTGAGGTTCATTTCTCCAAGCACTTCATTAGCCACCTGTGAAGTGACACACAGAGGATCAAATCGTAAACCGATTGCGCTGATAACGCAATGCAAGTCAAAACTAAAACTCGATAAGTGTTTATATTCTTGCTGGCATTTGTGCAATTATTTCCAGTTTTACTAATTGAAACAGTTCTGCTGGTACGGCAGGGTCTTAAATCTGTTTCTTTTTAATGCAAAATTACACAGGCGCCGTTTAAAAAAAAAATTATTCAGTCTCACTTTCCTTGTCCTTGGAGCTATTTTTAATAAGTGCACATTACTTTTATGTTGTAATTTTATCGATACAATACAGTATATTCTTAGTTTTTTTTTTTTTTTTTTAGATTTCTGCCTGTCGCTTTGCTGCTGTTATACCCAAATTCCCCCAATGTGGGACAATAAAGAGTGTTTCTTATTCTATAAAGAGCAAAAATTATAAAAGACAGTTTTAAACAAAATTGTCAAAAAGCTGCTGCTCACTTTGACAAATGTGTCTCCAATAATCTTCCTTTTCTCTTCTGGATTGGTGGTCATATTTAAGGTTTTACTGATGCGTTTCCGTGGCGTTCTGTCCTCGTCAGAGATTGGGAGAGTTGTTGTTCCGTTGTAAAAGGTGTGAGCCGCATTTACCACTACAGAAACGAACATACTGATGGTTAATTTATATAGAATGATTAAACATGCAAAACTCAATAAACTAAATGAATAAAGAAGATGGGTGTTTCCTGTAATTCAATTAAAAGTGCAACTCATAGGTCACCATTAGAGTAACCCGGATCTCCTTAACACCAACTGTTGAAATGATACATTGTCAAGAACATCTACATAGTTTTCAGTTGTCAAATCTTTCTGTATTTAAAAAAACTTTTTTGGGCTTATCATTCAAATTTTCTGAAAATAAATAGATAAAAAAGATACACAGGGTTCACTTTTGAATGGTGTGACTGAAAAACTGATCGGGTTTTCACATTTATCAAACTACAAATGTCACAACTTAACCACCTTTCTTAAAAACAACAAAACCATTAACAAAATCTTCAAATGTTTCCCATAGAAGACCCACATAAAAATACTTCTACAGAAACTACAAAACAACTAAGAACTTGTTTCCTACCTTTGAGTTTAATGCCCAGCTTGGTGAGGGCCTCCTCCACACTCAGACTCTCTCTCTTCCTCATGAAGCCGTTGTCGATGTGAACTGCTATCACCTGCTCCTGGTTCAGAGCTTTGTTCAAGAGAGCGGTGCAAACTGTGGAGTCCACTCCACCGCTCAAAAGCACCTGTTGAACCAGAACATTACTTTGAGTTGGACCAAGCTCAACATTTTATCAATTTAATGTTATTTCAACCAACAAACAATTATGACGAAACCACTTAGTGCACTGTGAAAAAAGTGAAGTTTAAAACTCCCGCTAAAGCGCAGGACCAAGTCATGACTTTAATTCAACAGAGTGAATACAAATGTTGCCACTTATCTTCAAACTACCACTACTGTACCCACCTCCATAGCAGCTAAAGCACTTCACATACAGTTCTATAGTTTGAAAATATTCTTTCTTCCAGAAGGAAGTCAAAGTCATTTTTTTTCCTCCAACTTTAGGCAGTTTCACTCACCAGAACTTTAGATGTGCCCACTTTTTCTCTGATTTCATTGATGCAAACCTGCTGCCGGTTGTGCACAGTAAAGTTACTTGTACAACCCGCAATCTCAAACAGGAAGTTGCGCAGCATCTCCATCCCTCGCTCTGTTAGGTCGACCTCAGGGTGAAACTGGGTCCCATACAGCTTCTTCTGTTCATTAGCAATCCCTAGATTGGAAACATGGCATTTAAACTTTTGAATAAAACTACTCTAATATGCAAAGAATATGCTGCCTTTTGCTTTTAAAATAGTAGAGGAGTTTATGCATGCTTATAGGTTTTATGACAACAAACTTATAAAGATTATCAAAAGTTCTCCTCACCAGCAATGATGTTCCCTGACTGAGCCACCACTTTAAAGCCATCAGCCACTTTATCCACGCTGTCACCATGGGTCAGCAGCACCAGCTCCTCCTTCTGAAGGCCTCTGATAAGAAACACACACACACACACAAACACAAACTTCAAATGCAGATATAAAGTGTTTACTGATCTGTTGAGTGATAGTTAATGCGTAACCCCAGCGTAGAAGTCTAGAATAATAATAAATGTGACATTTGGTCAAATTAGAAAGAAAAAGTTGTTGACACTTAAATATTTCTGATTAAATGTTTTTTCGGATTATGTGAGAAATTGCATCTTTCAAGAAGAAATAAAATGCACAGGAATGAATGTGATTTTGAAGATTACCTATTGTTAAACTTATCTAAGTAAGTTAAGTCTGCAATGTAGTTAAGATTAGTTTACATTTAAAATTGACTGAAATGTAGTGCAGGCCAAGTAAAGCTGGAACAAATAACCAGATTGTGACGAATCAATTATTAAAATAACCACCAACTAATTTAGTAATTGATTGTTAACAAGAATATACAAATTTAAAAAAAAAGGTTCTTTGTTGAAAACAACGTTTTTACGTTAATGTTACAAGTATTTTTTAACTTTTTGTCATAAACAAAATGCTATGTTCTTTTTCTTTTAGGCAAGAAATGTTATTTTATTATTTAAAACAGGATTTGAATTATTTGTGCAGTAGCATTTTAAAAAATATATTTAGAATATTGTTTAAAATCTGCAGAATGTGCCAGCTTTTGTCTGTCTAACTGGTCAATCATCAAAATAATCAGTTACTAAAATAATCATTCGCTGCAGTGCTAAAGCCAAGAGAAGCATTTGCATTAATAAAAAAATACATATTTTATAATAACAACCTTTGAACTAATATTTTTTGCAACAATTATGTTCGCATACTTCAGATACTCAATGTATAAAAAGCTTTACAATACCTGAAAAGGGAGCACGTGTTGTCCAGCACAATGTTGAACACGCCATCCTCCCTTACGCTCTTTTTATGGACTGTGCCACCGAAAACTTTATTCATCATCTATGGCAAACACACAGAATTAATAATTGCAGACTTAGTTATGGTGTGCTTGAAATACAGTAAATCATTTCAGAGAGTAGAGGAAATATTTCTGTTCCTTATCTTAAGAGGCAAACAGCCTCTTAAGACAACTCAAGTGTGAAGCATGGATAAAGCTACCTGCATCCCATAGCAGATGCCAAGTACGGGCTTTCCTATGGTGAATATGGCCTGGTCGAAATAGGGAGCATCTTCTGCATAAACAGAGGCTGGACCTCCTGAAATAATGATGGCTCTAAGGAGTAAAAGAAAGACAGAGGAAAAACCATAAAGACAATGCAAAACCACTAAACACCTTCACACTTCATTTTAAAGAAATCATACAAGAAAGGGAGAAAAACTGTAAAATAAAGGCACCCCCCACCCCCAGGGTTCTCACCTGTAACCCTGTTCTCTGAGGGCAAAGGCAGGGGTCTCTAAAGGGAGAATCTCTGAGCGGACACACAGCTCTCGCACTCGTCTGTCGATCACCTTCCCATATTGTGCCCCTGCATCCAGGATGGCGACCGCCCCCTCGCAAGATCCATTCTGCGCTGAGGTGCTGATATCCAGCTGTGGACACAGTTTCACAGACACGTTAACATGTTGGTTAAATTTAATCTTTCAAAGAAACACATGCAAAAGTTACACAAACACAGACTTAAAAATGAAGTGTCAATGTTAAATTGGTAGGGCTGCACGAGAGCCAGTACAGTGAGGTCAACTTCTCCAAAACTTTCCTGTGCTCCATCTTTAACCTCCTTGTGGAAAATGTGACTCACAAATAGGCGTAACGTGATTAGGAGCATGTGAGCTACAACATCCAGACAGACGGGCACTCTTTTAAAACGTGCTGCAACCATTCAGAAAAATCACGTGAAACCTCAAGCCTGTCAAGGGTCATTAGCTTGATCAGCTTCCTAAATGGACATTTTGGCCCAGTGAAAGTGAAGCTGAAGGAGAGAAACCTGGATTTCAGGGGAGGATGTTGATAAGAGATTACCAAAAACAAAAACAAAATAAAAAACTTTGTTTTTATAACTGAAATCTTTGTTTATAAAACACTAAAGTATTAAACATCCCACAGAGCATTGTTCTATCCATCATCATCATCAGAAAATAATGAGAGAATAGCAAATCTAGCTTTTGGCTCTTTTTTTTAACATTTAGATTTAGACCGTTTACCTAGATAGAGTGTGTTTCTGTGTCACATTAAATTTCCCAGTGAAATATACCCCCTTTATTAGCTGACAGGAAAAAAGGCTCATGGACTACGAATATTTACAAGGTTACTGAGTCATGTTTACTCTAGGATCTTGGTCCATGTTGAGGTATTTGTGACTATTTGTTTTCTGACATATGCTTCAGTGACTAAACACATCAGTCGAGGACCTGGAGAAATGGAAGCGCCAGTCAACCAATGTACAACAACAAAACATCCCATGAGGAGCGGTAAGAGCACAAATATCACCCACGTGAAAGGTGGAAGCGTATTTTAGTTGTTTCTAAATGCACATTATGCTGTTCTAATACCTAGAGGTGGGATAGAAATATCTATTAACCAAGAATGTTCAGGGAAAGTACTTACCAGTTGACCCGCTAACATCGCAGTCTGTATCAGCTTTAAGTTTGCTCAAACTAGCCTCGTCAGATTGTTAGCAGACTGACACTTAAAGTGGCGTTATTTTAGCTCAAACTGAGTGACGGCAGCCTTGCAAAGTAAACGAGATTGGCACAAGTTCACAAGTTTTAGTTTCGAAGCCGATGCTGCGACTGAAATAAACAAATACGATGTCATTATTACACTGTTAACGATGCTGTCCTAACATATTCATCCCGGCTAACGATTGCTAGCTAGAAGCGCGCTAGCGAGCGAGGAACGCACAGTGAGGAGCGCTAGCCTGTTAGCAGCTCGGTTAACAGAGCTATGCTAAAACCCACGTCGCGCCAGCAGCCGCAGGCACCTACTCGACGAAGACGCGAATGGTGGGAAAAATATGTGACAGACTTGCTTCGTGTCAGATGAGTCCGATAATATGCCGCGTAGCCAGTTAGCAGTTATGAGCAACATGCAAATGGGAAACTGCAACAGGCACACGGCGGACTATCCGCACCTCCGCGGGGCTGTTGGGAACATGCTGACTAACTTTCCCCCCCCTCCCCACTGGAGGTGCACAGAGGCCGTCTCTGAACCGCGGGTACCACGGCTTCCGAGATCAAGTCACCCGGGCCACTCAGCACCAGAGTCGCGGTGCGGAGTTAACCTATCCACTGACCTTGCTGTCTCCGTTGCACAGAGCCATGGGGGTCTGCCGCTGTGTTCAGTGTAGAAAGCTCTCCCCTTCGCCTCACTGTCCCAGGTCTCACACTGAAAGAGGGCTGCTGGTTAGCTCCTGGATCAGCACGCCGACTACTGCTGGAGAGGCAGACTGAGCTGTGGGTCTAGTGGAGCTCCTCTTTCTCCCCTCATGGGTGGAGCGCAAAGTGAAATTCAACAGATAGTAAAGGGGAAGGGGGAGGACTTGTCTCTGCGTTGGTGGCTGAGAATCAGCCTGCAACAAATAGAGACGGCCTTCTTAAATTACCTTTTAACAACAATAACAAACGGTGGGTTTGTAAATACACCGAGCATACATACTGCTAGGAAACAGACGCTTCATCCTTTCATTCAATTCCATCAGAATGTTTTAAAATGAAGTGTTGTTGTTACTAAGAGTTGACTCCAAAATCCCAACTCTTAGCCGGGAGGATGCAACGATGCATTTGTGCAATGCAAGATTTGCAATTTGAGATGAAGCATTGATGAATGCTTTTCTCTCTCCTGCTCAGACAGTCTGGAGGGTGTGTTTCTCTTCATTCTAGCTATTTTTTCTTACCTAGAAGGAAGCTGAAATCTGACCTCATATGACCTTTGGGGGGGGAGAAAAAGAGATATATATTTTGCACAGATTAGATTATGTTGAGAAAAAACATTCCCTAAACTAGCTCATATATATATATATATATATATATATATATATATATATATATATAATATATATATATATATATATATATATATATATATATATATATATATATATATATATATATATATATATATATATATATATATATATATATATATATATATATATATATATATATATATATATATATATATATATAGACAAAAATGCCTGCAGCTTGGTAGATGCACCAGGTAATATATAACAGACATCCACTGACATGAAGTAATTTAAGCATGGTTTATCAGGAGGTCGAGTGAAATAGGGGTGAAAAGATGGTCCTGTAATAGCATCCCTTCATCTCAAACTATGTCTCGGTAAGTGGTGGCAATGGCAGCTTTACGTCGGTCCTTTCATCACATGCTGTACCATTAAAATAAGCCTCTGTCTTATCACATGTTTGCTATTGGGATAAGCAACTTCACATGGGCTCAAACCAACCCACAAGCCAGACCATGTCGTTATTCATTACGTCTTTAATGTGGGGTCATGGGTGCATCATGACCTCTTACTAAGATAGGAGGAGAATTAAATCACAAAATAATCTCTGTTTATTATGGATAAGAGCCAATTGTACTTTATTGCATCTTGCCATTTTGCATTTAATTGTTCTGTTTAATTTGTTTTTTGTTATTTTTTCTGTCTGCAAAACAATTAACACGTTTAAGACGACATTATTAATTTATGTAGTAAAATACATGCCTCATATACCTGGATGTTTTTATTTAGAAGAAATTAGTACAATCAATATCAAAATAATGACAGATTCAAAAGTTTAGAATTTTGTTTTATCTTTCACATTTCGTTTTTGCATTAAACATAACATTATTATTATTATTGCTGTTGTTGTTGTTGTTGCTGTTGCTGTATATGGAGTATAGTAAAAATCCTTCCGCCTTTTTGCTTATTTGTTTCTGAGGAGGAACTTCGTGCAGTGACGTTTTCAGACACGTCAGCTAAAGTCACCCGGACACATTTCCGTGCTGCACACAACGCTCTTCTCGGCCGTCCTGTGTTTTGTCCACCGATGTGATTTTAAGTTAAACGGTAGTCTAATTATTTATCTTTGTTCGTTTCATCTGTTAGGACGTTATCGCGTTTTCGCCGGTCAATCTTATGAATCAAGCCGCTGGTTGGCTCACTCATTCCTCTAATTTTGTGTGTTTGTTTCTGCTTTGGCATGTTGTCATCACCAGGTATGCATGAACCCATCCGCTTTCCCTTTTCTTTTATGCATGATTTTTTGGCTGTTTCTGAGTTTATTCTCGTTGTTTGTGAGCGTACAATATTATTTATTTTTAAACGACACCAGGGTGAAAACAGCAAACCTCATGTGTTAATTTTTCACTGACTTGGCTTATAATTATACTTCCTGTTAAGAGATCAATGGATGTATTCTTGACATTTTTAAAATGTTGCACTTTTTTTGATGATTCTTCTCATACCTTAAATCAGATTTGCTTCTGGATGTGTTTCTTCTTTTCCACCGTTTTTGCAATGGATTTCAATCATTTATTTACATTTACCTTTCCAATCATAGCATTCCATCTCCATTCCATTTGGAGAAGAAATTGCTGATTTACCCAGAAGCCTCAAAAACCCAGACTAGAAACTCCATGTAAATGTTTTACGTGTATTTTTACTTTCTACTTCCAGATTTTTTGTGGGCACAGCAGGTTTGATGCCCTTTGCTCCATCATGGAGCCCTCAGATTTGACAACGCGCAGAAACGGGCGACAGAGGAGAGTGCCAGGTGCCTCTGCCCTGTCTGAGCACATTGGCTCTATGGACAGAGGGGAGACGAGTTCTCCTGAGCCGGAGATGGAAGAGGAGGCAGACAGCCTCATCAGAAGCTCAGACACAGAGAACAGGAGGCGTCACCGGGTTCGGCCGGGTATCCGTGGTGAACTGGGGAATATATTACTTCTCCTGTTCCTCTATGTGCTGCAGGGGATTCCCTTGGGACTGGCTGGCAGCATTCCCCTAATCTTACAGAGCAGGAGTGTCAGCTACAAAGACCAAGCCTTCTTCAGCTTTGTCTTTTGGCCGTTCAGTTTGAAGCTTTTCTGGGCCCCGTTGGTGGATGCTCTGTACTTCAGCAAGTTTGGGAGAAGGTAGGACGGGAAACCCAGGTACGGATGATTCTGTTATATATGTTTTTGTCTCTGAGCTGTTGTTATGTGTTTCTGCAGGAAGTCGTGGCTGGTGCCCACTCAGTACCTACTGGGGCTGTTCATGCTCTATCTTTCGGCAACAGTCACCTCACTGCTGCAGAGTGAGGACGGACCCAAGGTGGTCACGCTCACTGCAGTCTTCTTTATGCTTGCCTTCCTAGCAGCCACACAGGTAACCATCAATAAGCACACATATGTAGTGCTTTGCACAGGTATTCATATTCCATGAACTGTTTCATCTGAAAGGTAGAGCTCCATAAAGTCATAAAGAAAAGGAGACAATGTGTAATCTTTGTTTCAAAAATCAATCAATCAAATAATAATAAAAAAATTCTTACAAACTTAAAACATCTTTCATCTTTCTCTCTCTCTCTCTGCATACTAGGATATAGCTGTGGATGGCTGGGCCCTCACCATGTTATCGAGAGAAAATGTGGGCTATGCATCTACCTGCAACTCTGTAGGCCAGACGGCAGGGTACTTCCTGGGGAATGTGCTCTTTCTGGCTCTGGAGTCTGCTGAATTTTGCAACAAGTACCTCAGAACAGTTCCCAAAGACACCGGCATCGTCACCCTGCCAGGTACATTGACACACCACTGTTGAATTCTGAGGTGTGGTGCAAAAAAAAGAAGTATAATAAATGAATTTTAAAATGTTTTTCTTGAACTTTTTCTGTACCATTCAAATTAAAATCAAACAAATCTGTTAGGGATGGGTTTAAAAAAAGCTGCAGTAATCTGGTTGCATAAGGGGGCACGCCTTTCCACTAATACCTCTTTGACACACCTTTGACTCAATTTCAACATTTAGTGTTTATTGGTACAAACCTCTCATCAGTTATGGCAAATCAGACTGATTTAAAATAAACCTCAGCTGTCCAGCTCTTCTTTTGCATCTTTTAACTCAACGATCTGAACATGCAAATGTATCAGACTGTCTAACCATTCTACAGAAATATATACATAACATAGCACAGGCAAGGCGGGTTCCAATACTTGGAAAGAATGTACTGCAGCGGTGAAATTATTAAAGCTGTGACACGGAACAGTGACACGGAAGAGGCTGTTGGGATCTCTGGTTTTAGAAGAAGGAATTCAGTAAGAAAGGAGGTTTGGAGACTAACAGTAAACAATACCCCCAAGCCTTTTGGGAGAATGTACCTTCTGCTATTATGCCAAGCATATGACTAAAACTGTAAAGGTTTAAAGAACCTATGCGAGGCAGAGTCGTCAAATGTTGTATAATATCTCGCGATATTATACAAAATTGTTTTTCTTATCTCTGCTTGGTTTATGCAGATGACTTAAGTCAATCTTTCGTTCTTCTGTTGCAGATTTTTTATTTTTCTGGGGGGTGATATTCCTAGTCTCCACTACCCTGGTGGCCATCCTTAAAAGGGAGAACGATCAGAACAGAGGCAGGAGGAACGTCCCGGTCGAAACTCAGGGTGTCGCAGAAACCTACAAGCTCCTGTTCTCCATCGTCAAGATGCCCACAGTCTTCACTTTTTGTTCCCTGCTCCTCACAGCTAAAGTACTTGACTGCTAACAGCAAGATGATTGGTGTTGTCTGTATGTGAAGAAAACTCATAGTGAAAATATATTGATTATTTTTTTTCTCTTTTGCATTAGATCGGTTTCTCTGCAGCAGATGCTGTTACAGGTCTGAAGCTGGTGGAGGCTGGAGTCCCCAAAGAGCAGCTGGCGCTCCTGGCGGTTCCCATGGTGCCTCTGCAGATCCTTCTGCCAGTGATCATCAGCAAATACACGGCAGGGCCCCGACCCCTTGATGTCTTTTATAAAGCCTTTCCATTCCGGTAAGGGCTGACGTAAACACAGAAACAAACTCACTTTGTGTTTGTATGCAGTAAGCAAAGAGCTAGCGGAGTCCTATTCTGTTATGCAGGCTGCTTATCGGGCTTGAATACGCTCTGCTGGTATGGTGGACCCCCCATGTGAAACAAGAAGGAGGATTCCCACTTTACTACTATGCCATAGTCCTGCTCAGCTATGCATTGCATCAGGTTTGTTGTTTTTCTCCTTTTCTCTGCTGGTTGCCCTGCTTACCTACAACCATCAAATCCAGTCTGACTTCCTGAAACCTGTTCAAATAAACCGGATGATAAGCGTTCGCAAACCTCTGATGGTTAAACACTTAAACACCTTGTTTGACTGTGATACATTTAATGAAGTCGGCCCCACTTTGGTGTCCCTAGGTGGCGCTGTATAGCATGTATGTGGCCTGCATGGCCTTCCATGCCAAAGTGAGTGACCCGCTCATAGGAGGGACCTACATGACGCTGCTGAACACGGTCACTAACCTGGGAGGAAACTGGCCCTCCACCGTGGCTCTGTGGATGGTTGACCCCCTGACCTCTAAGGAGTGCCACGGGGCCGCGGGACAGAGCTGCAGCTCGTCACTCGAGGCAGGGGTGAGTGGAACGTGAGAGGGCGGAAAACCACAGAATATGTTTTTATTCATAAAGTAAACCCCCAATTTTTATGTATTTTTTTTCCCTCCAGTTGTGCGTCAAGGAAGGAGGCGTTTGTGTGACGACCGTGGACGGATACTACGTGGAGTCTGTGGTGTGTGTCGTCATAGGTTTACTGTGGTGGGTGTGGCTGGGGAAGAGGATGAGGCGGCTGCAGGAGCAGAGCTCCTCTGCGTGGAGATGCAGGGTGAACCAGTGATATGAATCCTACAGACATTTCAGTAGTGAGCTGCACCTTCATTTTCTGCTCCAAAACCAGCTGGACTCACAGTCACTCCCACACAGCAACGTTTTGCTCTGGTCTGGCTTTTTGGCTGCTGGATCGTGGAGACACTTACCATTAAACATGTGACTTTAATGTACACATATGAAGTAAGCCACCATCGCTGTCTTCTTTTATTTTTTAAAGTATTAGTAGTAGATTTTTACCATATTGTTCCGCTTAAGCAAAACCAAACAAGAATATCTTGACAATTTTTTTTCTCATCTGAAAAAAGATTTTTTTTGAGACGCTTTTGGGGTTTTAGCACCTCATCTCCTAACCTTATATACCTTTCTTATATGAAAGGAAAATTCACAGAACAGATGCACTAATCTTAACTCAAAGCACATGTGAAGATTTCACCTTGTATCCCTGGCCTGAACTATGAAGCAGAAAAAAATATCTCAGTGCAGTTCAGAGGGAAACAGAGAAATTGGACAGGGTTAACTACAAATTTTTTTAAAAAACAAAACTGATTAAAAAAAATGATACCTATATTATACAGAAATATCTTCTCTTCATTGTTCCTGTTTCAGTTTTACTAAGGAGGACATTTTGGGAGTCATTTTGCTATAATATTTATAGCAGTTGTTCATTTTAATTTAAGTCCATACAAAGGAATAAAATCATTTTTGTCTCCTCCAGTGTAAAAAGGTGCTGCATTAAATATTTGTTTGTACTTTCATATCGGTCATATTAGTTATAGAGTTGGACCAATCAGGCTGCTGGCAATTTCTGGTTTCTTTGACCTCTGACCTGTCGGTTTATGTTCTTCCTCTGACTGCGGTGCATAAGAGAAAAACAGTGGCGGAAAGTTCTTTGAAAGGTGTTGTAGTATGGGATTCAAAAGAAAATGAAGGAATTGCATGATTATCTCAATTTATGCCCCAAATTGATCTGATTTTGTTTTATAATCTCAGGAAAGGTGTACTAAAGTATCTGCTGTTGGTTCATATGTTTATGTCCTGAAAATAGCAAAAGAATGTTTTGATTATTTATTGGAACCTGCTGATTAAGATTACTATTTGAAATCCTAGGTCGCAGGGTTGCTGGTAAATATGACGAGAGTAGTTGCAATAAATTCACTTCTATTTCACTCCCCTGGTTCCTGCATGTTAACTCCTGGCCACTGTAATCTGTCCAACATGGATATCTGCTGCACTAATCCAACAGCATGAATACCAGATTATGATGAAAATGCTAACAATATGAATTTGAATACATTAGCATCAGTTCCCACATTTCAAACATGTGCTGTCACTATTACCATGGTGATATATTGTACAGCTTAAATTGGAAAGTTACAATAGAGAGTGATCTTCACAACTTGCATCCAGCTGAACAAGACTGAAACTGGTCACCAGATAAGACGCACATTTAAATAAACTATAAACAATCTGCTCTGCAGCTGCTTTTAACTGCATATTAGCTAGATTAATAATTTACACAGAAATAATCAGCATATTTTATTGACTGTGTTGTTTTCAGCTGATTGAAAGTATGACTTTGATTTCATGTCACTGTAAAAACAGAATCATGACGGTGGATGGTGTTGTGATCACAACTCAGGACATTAAAACAGATGAGTGGTCGTGTTGCGAGGTGTGACATTGCAGTACTGTAGAGCGGGACACACCCATTGTATGTTGCCCAACTCCCAAGTTCAACCAGTGGGCAAAATCCACATGCTTTAAAAAACTCATTTTTTCTGATTTTTTTTTTTTTTTTTTCATAATTTCTATTGTGGTTGTTTTTGTTTGTTTAAGCTGTGCCTTGTTTAGTGTCTTCAAGTCAGTTCATTGTCAGAACTTTATCTGAATTTGAAACATTAAGTTATGCTGCCACCCTGTGGTGGAGAAGGATGACTGGTAATTACCCACACTACACTGTTGCCCTTAAAATAATTGTGCAGGTAATCAAGCTCAGTAAGTTTCTCAACATACTCGAGGTTTAGTCCGCCAGCTGTTTCTGTGCGCTCCTTAAAGAAGAATTCAATTTGCACTTTGTAATCTAAAAGCTGTGGTCATCCATTGTTAAATGAATGGAGATGCCTAAACGTCATTTTGCCTTTTTAATGTAATACTAAACTTCCATGAGCAATCACAAACGATGGCCAGTATTTTGGTTGAGGAAATCTTTTCTTTGCCGCTTTTATGCAACTTTTTCCAGTTTTTTGGTTCCATTGTAACTGCATATACTGTACAAGTTTATATTATTACAGTAAACATTTAGAATCTATTTACTCTGTTTAGAAAGCAGATAATTTTATGGATACCTTTACATCATATAACATCAGCCATGAGGAAAGATTAGTCTGAGTGTAATGTCTGAATGGTGGATACCAAAATTCCCTGGTGAAAACATTGATGAGAGTAATTTTTAGTTAGTGAAATACATCAAATATTGATTTGAGGATCTGGTAAATACTGTTTATAATAAATGCACTGAAAGTATAATTTACATCAAATGAACAGCCTTTAGTCTTTTTAAATCACATTAAAAAGACTAAATAGACATTAAACTCACCTCACAGCAATTTTATGAGAATGTTTTATATTTACTTCCTCCAGATCATGCATTTAAATAGTTCTGTCATTGACACTGTTTACTGATTTAATTTGATAATTGGTGTTTTTCAGGTGGTGGACAACTGCTTAAGAGTTTTATTATTTTATTTTATTCTATTCATAATATATATATTTTAGTTGTTGCACAATTTTGGTTTACAGCAATTCAAATTACATTCATTGATATCTGATCTTTTCTTCTTATCCACCCAGTAACGAAGGCTGTGGTCAAATGCATTGAGATTTAAAAAGAGTTTCAAAGATTTATTGACAGATGTTTATTGTCACTGTCATTGTATTGAGATTTTTTTTCTTCTTTTCCTTACAAACAACAAACTGTTTTTAATATTTGACTAATGAACTCAAAGCTTGGAAGCTATGGACTTCGCCAGTAATAATTAGATCAATTTAGACATCTGAATTGAAACATTTATTAAATTGTTTTATTAAATGTTTCACTTTTTCTACATTCCGAAGTCTTTAAAATAATATAATAAAACCAAATTATTTCCTGATTAACCACTGTGGTTCTGAAGGCTTAATTTCAATGGGATGGAACGAAATGAAATTTTGACATCGTTTTTATCGGAGGTGGAACCTGGAAGGTCTAAATTTAAAAATGTTACTACCTTGAGTATTTTCCTTCTACTGTCACCACATGCTTGCATTATAACTTGGAGCAGACTGGAATGTATGTAATCTTAATGATTGAATTATTTTGATCATTTATTTCTGGATGGTGGTCGGACCCGTTTGTCCTGTGAAGTGCCTTCAGATGACATTTCTTAACAAGTGAAGCGATGGTACATGAATAAATTGAGTTTAAAATAAATCCCATGTTTTAAGACTGTAAAGGAATCCCACTGAAGGAAATGAATGACTAAAAATGATTGAATATTGAGATCTCAATAAATATTTATAATTAAAAACACGCACTTCATCAGGTTTGCATCTCTTTTTCTGTCAGTGTTGGAGGGGAAACAAACAGACATGATGTGCATGTTTTATTTAGTTTATTCATAATTTCTTTTTGCATCTTGAGAGTTGTAAAATAGTTTTTCCTGAACAAGTTAATGCTGAGGCAGGAAGCTGAAGCTGAGGCTGCGTCTCCGGGTCTTTGGAGCTCTGAATCTTCACAGAGCTGCGGATGGTGAGATCAGATGAACTGGTTCTGGAGATTCGGACCCACTCCAGGTTTTGACGCGCTGAGCGTCCCTGAGCAGCCTGATGGAGAGCCGGAGGTGGTATTATGTAATCAGCACAGATAAGCAGAAAATGGAGCTGAATTAGAGTGATAACTCAAGTATGGATTTCACATGATGTCATTTCACAATACAAATGCTAAAAGAATTGATAGTTTTTGTTTTTTTTTATTTAATGGAGGCTCTATGAGTTGATGCACAGCACAGAAAATGGATCCACTTGGTAAGACTTCGTAAAACAAAGCAAAACCTTTCGTTTATAGAGCCTCTTTTTGTCTGATCGGAACAACCAACTCTTTCATTTTAATATTAATCCTAATTCAGATCATAATCCAGAACCAGGAACCATGTCAGTAATCCATCCAGTAGAGCTTACTGGCATCGACTAAAAGAGATCAAAGCACTTTGGATATCTTAAAGTCCAGCAGACTGACTGCGTCTCAGTTCCAAGCATACCGTAGTGTGAGAAATGATCGCCGGAGACAGGAGGTCGACTGAGGTGGCGAGGCAATGACGTCACCTTTAGCACTGAACTGTAGTCTGCCGGAGTGCCGGCCCCAAGCCCACACTCCAGGTTGTGACAGTACATGTGGTGTGCAGATGTGCAAGAAGTTTGGATTCTCATTGTCTCTAGCATATGTTCCTGTTTCTTTGCTTTTAAAAAAATATCACCAAACCAGAGGGAGAAGAAATAAAGTCAGGGGTCATAGGTTCATACGTAGATGCTCAGGCCGTTTGGCCACGACGGGGTAGGCTTGCTGCTTCATCTGGGCGAGGTTGACCCCCGCAGGCTGTCGGATGGGGAGGGGGGCCGAGGCCTCAGAGCTACTAGTGATGTCCATCTGCTCTGGGGTGGACAGATCCATGGGCTGCTCCAGAGGAGAGGGGAGGACGCTCGGTCCCACGCCGGGGATGTGGGGGCTGCGAGCCCAGCCCGGGCTGACAGGAAAGAAACTACAGGTTAGAGGCTGCAGGTTAATGAGTCACGCAAATAATCAGCTCACATCAGAACTGCTGCAAACCAGCCGACAAACCTGAGAAGAGCCCTTGGGCTGTCCATGATGCGCCGAGGGGAGCGGATCTTTGGCTCAAAGGAAAACTTCTCCTTGATGTTTTCCAGAACTGATGGCGCGACATAAGTAAAACCCTGGGAAAACCACGAAGGAAGGAAACAAGGGACGTACCTTTTAATTATATATATTTTGTACAACTTTCCCTAAACTTCCATACTTTCCTGGGCTCTTATTGTGACATTTCTAAGTTTAATCTTAACCCAATTATAGAGCACAAACACACAGAAAGTGTCAACAACTTCACATCATTTGTCTTTTATGGTCATTTTTTGTTACATTTACCTGCTGAGCAACAATCCTGTTTGCAGAATGCCTTGCAATCAACTTTCCACATATTGCAACATTCCAACCACACACTTCGGATGCATCCCATTGGGAAGACAAACACAGCAGAGCGCATAAATGTGAAGGGAAATTACAGAAGGTTTGCAAATTTTATCAATAAAAATTCAAGAAGCATTTCAGATTTATTTTGTAATGCATCTCCTTTCACTGCAATTACACCTGAAAGTGATTTGGATCATTTCTCCTCTAGCTGTTTGCATCTATGGATGCTGAAATGTTCATAAGCATTTAGCAGTTGGATTGGGTGGAAGGAATCTGAACATCAATTTTTAAATCGATTGTCAGGTGAATTTATCTCTGGACTTTGACTGGGCCGTTTTAGCACATGGGAATGTTTTTATTTTTTAAACGGGTCATTGTTCCAAAAATCCAATCAAGTTCAAGAAGGTTCTGATAATGACTGTTGACTTGACCCGGACTAGTTTTGAGATCCCAAATGTAGCTCTGAGCTGATCTTCAGAGACATTGTCCTGCTGGAAGCCAAAGCTCTGCTCCAGTCTCAAATCTTTTGCAGCTTTGGATGTGTTTTCTTCCAGGATCATTCTGTGAGCCTGTCCCAGAAAATCATCCACAAGCTGTCCCAACTTTCTCAGAACGTCGATTGTTGCTGGAGTTCTCTTAGTATGGCAGCATCGTCACATGATGCTGCCATGGCTGTGATCCAGAGAGGAGAGTGGTTTGCTCAAGGTGACGCACACTGCTGCCGCTTTACACACACACGCATTAAATGTTTTGGATTTAGATCGATTTTGAACTGACTGGTAGTTGTAATATTGACACTTAATCCTGAGCTTTGGTTTAGCTGTTTGGTAGGTTTGCAGTTGTGCCTGACTCTTTCCATTTTGTTGTTGGTTGTTTGAGCAGTACTGAATCAGATGTTCAAAGCTTGGTCACCATTTAGCAACTCGTGCTGCACTGGATTTTATTTAGGAGTATCAGGACATGGGCATGACTACATATACCTGTCACACTTTTTACATTTTTTGTATACATTCACAATAAACAAAATATTTAAAATAATTTTCCTTCTTTTCAGTAAAATACAAGTGCAAAGCAATTGGAGTTTAAGACTGTAACGTAACAAATTCTGAAAAACATCCACTGGAATGAATAAAGTGGAGTCACTGCATCTCTAATAGTTCAGATTAAACCTGCTACTAAACAAGGTAGAAGTGAAGTAAAGTGTCTTCAGGTTTTACCAGGAAGGCTTGATTTGCGCTCTCGCTGAGGGTGGAGTCGTCAGGGCTGTCCACCGGAGTCTGGCTGGTGAACTTCGAGTCGAACTGACTCACGTCATCCGCTGATTGCTGGCCAGATCAGAGACAAAACACAAGTTTGGGATTAGAGCAACATGAGCGGTTTCAGCCAAACTGTCTGCTTATAGTTTTACTTACAAGGACAGGTTTGAAGGGAGGCTCCACTTTCCGGGCCAGTAGATCTTCCCAGTTGATGTGTCGAAAGAAAGAATGACTCTATTGAACACAAAAAAAATTAAAAATAGATCATTTACACAAGTTGATCACAAGTTTTATAACAACCGGCTGAAGTTTGAGAATATACTATTGCATCTATTGCTCTCACCTGCACCTCTGTGGCGTCTCCCGTTCCGGCTCCGAGTCGTGATGAAGCTGTTCTCTTCAGCAGCTGTTCAAGCAGCAGCCAAATGTTAAGAGGAAACCAGCAGGGCAAATAATCAGCTTCAAGCAAATGGAGGAGACCATACCCGTTTCAGGAGATCCCTTGCTTCCTGTGTGAGGTAGGGTGGGAGACTCAGCTTACACTTCAGGATTTTATCAATGGTCTTTTTCCGGTTCTCACCTGTGAAGGGGGGCTACAATTAGAGAGGAAAGACCAGGGTTATTAACACAATACCTACGCTGATTCACAACAATAATCATGAAACTGAGCGCATTTCACTGACCGCTCCTGTGAGCATGTCGTACATCAGAGCGCCCAGACTCCACCAGTCCACCGCTCTGTTGTGGCCGCTCCTCATCAAGATCTCTGGAGCCCTGAAGCACAGAGAGCCCACAGCATCCGAGGCCGTTAGAGATGAAGAGTGCAACTGGGTCAGAGGTCCCAGAGAAAACACCTACATGTATTCGATGGTTCCACAGAAAGTGTGAGTAACAGTTCCGTCATGAATGGATTCTTTACAAAGACCGAAGTCAGTCAGTTTTACATGACCTGGAGGAACATCAAGAAATATTTAGACGCCAACATTTACATGAATTAATTGCACCTGCTGGAAGCTGAGCATTAAATAAAACTTTGATTTGAAAAGTATTCACACCCCTTGAACTTTTCCACGTTGTCAAGTTTCATTTTTTTTTAAATCAGTTTATATAACTAAAATTTAAATATGAGTCAAAGAGAGACATGGTTTTTATCAGTTTTTATAAATAAAATCTGAGGAATGCATTTCTATTCGACACCAGAGAATTAATACTTTGTAAAACAATTAAAGCTGCAGATATTTAGGAATTTAAAGCATCAAAGAGAATTGTAGCTTTTTAAGATAAATCGAAAGATGGGCAAAATTCGATGGAGACTATTTCAATCAAATATTTATTACCTCACTCAGAAGTTTTATTAAATTTAGGGCTGGGCTTTGACTAGGTCAGCAGTTCTTAATCCAGGTCCTGCAGGTCTTAGATGTAGCTCTACTCCAGCACACCTGATTCAAATGAACCCATCCATTGCTGCAGAAGTTTGCTTAATTACCCATTAATTTAAATCAGGTGTGTGGCAAATGGGGAAAATAGTTTTTTAATTTAAAACTAAAGCAAAAATGTTTGATCACTGAACCACAAATACTTTGTCTTGTCTCATGTCCAGTCGATGCTGGTCTGTCACTTAAAATCCTGATCAAATAAACTGAAGTCTGTAGTTGTCATGTAAGAAAAAATATCAAGAAGCATGAATACTTCAAAAGGCTCTAAATATTACATATCATCCATGACGGACTAACCTTGGCTGTTGAGCATAATGTTCTCAGGCTTCAGGTCTCGGTAGATGATGCCTTTTTGGTGCAGATGACCCAGAGCCATGGAGATCTCTGCGAGGTAAAAACTACACGCAACAAAAGACTAAATAAAATGATGCCTCAAAGTTGATAATATTACACCAAACATCACATCAATGTGACATTAACGGAAGAAGGACTGTTACATGTTTTCTGGTCTAAAACCAATTCTGAATTTATAATAAATTGCTTCAAACTAAATGTCAGGTGTTATTGGCACCCATCGTGTTAAAACTTGCCAAAGGGACAACACTTGACCAGTATTCTTTGCACAATCTCTGCAGCTCACCCAG